ACAAAGGCTTTTTTATCGTACTTTTTCCGAATTATCGAGAGAAAAAAAAATTGAAAATACACGGTATATAATCAATACATGCATGTAGGTGGCCAAATCCACACCCCGAAACCCCATTGACAACAAATAAAATAAAACATCAAGTGTGAGAGAACTTTATATAGATAGAGCAAGAACTTTTGATTTGTATTTGGCATAAATCACACATCACACGCATACTTACAAATTGTGTGACATGAATGAACGGCGAGACGTCTCCATAAACAAACAAGCTTCAGATTTAATCTTCAGGACATCGACATGCATGAGTCTATAATTCCGATATAGACGCAATTTGGGCTTTATTTTTATGTATCACTTTCTGTCAATAGATTTTTTTGGTGGTGCACATCAATTTGGTGGGAGTTATTTGGTGTGATTGTTCGTACTCAGTGTCTCACACAGTAAGCGGCCATACTGGTCGAACTTGAATGTCGTCTAGAGATTACATCAGCATCATTCGCCACCGTTAATGGTCTGCATTTGACAAAGGTGTCGTAATGAATATATTTTCACGTAAATTTGATACCAGTATAAAAGTGTTCAACGGTCGCTATGCGTTCGATTTATTTTCAAAGCCTTTTCATAAGCTCTAATGCGTCTTTATGGAATTTGCACACGTTCGTGTTCATTGCTGTGTAAAAGATCTGGCGACGGTGTGTGGTGTGCGGTGTGTGGCTGTATGTATGCATACGTTCTTTTTGTTCTCTTTTACTCGTTTTAAAACGGGACGAAAAAGGGAAGAAAATTGAAAAAAGAAATCTGCATACTAATCAACACGTACGCAAAATCCCATTTTGCAATTTTCATTTCATCACATGCCAAACGTGAAATTGTACATTTCAAAGTTTAAATCGGGGAAATTTTTTCACACGAATTATGTATATTATTTTTATAAGAGAGGAATATATGCTTTTTGTCGGTTTTTGTTTATCAATTCACGTACGAGCGTGTGTCGATCGGCTTATGAATGTTTTCATATTTTCGCTTTGCTTCAATTACTTATTTTATTGGCGATGCGTTTGTTTGATATGTGTTCACTGCGTAATCATATAGATTTATGCGAACGTTGATAGCAAAATTGCGAGTTTCTCATGAGATATTCAATTTTAGATAGGTAAAATGCTACATCCAAATGGAATTTTATGCTTTCCAATGAGAGCACAGTTCAAATATTGACTTTGGTGGTAACCGCATTAGGCTAACACAACATTCGCACAATTTTCATCATGCTTTGATTAAATGAATAAATTTCCGGCGATGTGTGTATGCAACAACACCGGCAAACAAGTGCGAACGAACATCACCAAAGTCGCCTATAGCCGCCATAATTCAATTAGGACATTTTGAAGATTGAACCAACGAAACATGAAGAATTACGTGAAATTACATTTTTTTTTCCTTCCTCACTCGGCAACAGCTTTTTTACGTCTTTGCACTTGAAGAGAGAGCGAGAGTGGTGCGTGTCTCGTTGAGTTATTATGTAAGTAATGTGCGACATAAGCCGGAGTGTGTTGCGGTTTGAATTGTGTTTATTTAGGAATAAATATGTTCCAGTTTATCCCATGGATTGTGACATGAATCCATTGCTCGGCGATTTACACGAAAGAAAGAAGACATTGTTTGCCAAATATGACATGTCACTAGTACAATTCCATTTCATGATATTCTCACAGAACGACCCATTTTTTTGCCGCCATTCTTTCAACACCAATCTATTTCCATTCTCAAGCAAATACACTTCCTGTGAATAAACACACACACAACTAAAGAAAACGGAAAAAGAGAAGAGAAAAGTAAAATATGTTGTTTTTTTTTTCGGTGAAATAAGCAAAAAGAATTGAATTTCATGTCATTTACATTCAACGTGCATACAAAACTATTTTTGCTGATCTGCTTGTCTTTTTCCTCCTTTCTCTAGATTTGTCTTCGTACTTTGTGTGCTGTTCATTCATTCCGTAGACAGTTGAAGAACAACACATCAACATTGGATGATGTTTCAAAAGAAAAATGGCAACCTCCATCCAATTTCCATCATATACTTACTTCTTCTATCATTGAGTAACTTGCTGTCTCGTTCGTTTTTCTTGAACGCGCACACTGCTGACACCGTCATCAAATAAAGAATGAAATGATGGGAAAATAAAGTTTTCTCCGGCGTTGAGTAAAGCCACTGAAACATTGAAACTTTTTTTTCTCTTCAAGCGAATTGAAATAGCTTGAGTCGTAAGTGAAAAGAGACACAAGCAAACACACATATGCACATAAAGCGAACGAAGCGAAAAAAAAGTAAACGAAGAAATCTCAACAAAGCCGACAGCTGATGGAGATGAACTAGAAAACGACATACGATAAGAATGAATGTTATTTTCTTATGTATATTTTGGTAGATGTTGTTGGTGCTTTGAATGAAGTAGCATTTGCAAAGATTGAGTAAGTTCAGGTTTAGTTGTGAATAGGACACCTATTCTTTTGTCAATGTATAAGTTTCAAATTCCCTTTTTTACCTCACTGCGCTTGAATTTGCCACTCCTCTTTCGCTTTTTTTAACATTTTTGCATGACATTACGATGACAAAGTCCCGTCTTTTGTTTTTACTTCGTTTTTTTTTCGGATTGGTATTTACATCTGCATGCGAATGGATTTGATTTCGATTTTTGAATCGAGCGGATCGTTAGTTTAAGCTATTTAGTTCGATACTCGAACGGGTAATCTGGCACATGAATTGGAATCGATGTTGTCAGTTTGCAGTTTTGTTTGGCTTAAAGTCATTTAGAAGTAAATTGATAGGTTTTCCACCATCTTGATGTCTGTTCTCCTTTTTCATCATTTCGCATATAGAGTCTATGTTATTTTGCTGCTGAATGGCACCAAAGATGTATTACAATTCGAAATTGAAACGAGAATATAATTTGATTTTCATAAGAACCAAAATCAGGTTAATGTCATTATTACATTGTATACGTCGAACATTCGAAAAACACGTGAACATTCATTTTGTCTCCGGTTGTTGTGCTGTTTTTAAATCTGAATGCACAGATTTTCTCATGTTATTCTCCGATTTTCACTTGTCTTTGATGATTGGGTGCTATCATTTGTCTTTGATGTTAATGCCTTGAGATTCGTGCAACACAAACAGCATATTCGATGTGCGGTTTTTCGCCTTCAAAATGAATTATTCAGAGTCAGGAAATTCGAATACATTTTTTTTTCCTTTTTCCTGGTCCTCAGACAACATGAAATTGAGTTGCTATGTGGCTTGCAAATCAAAAGAGCATCCAATTTGCTTTCGCATGACAATATTGTAATGACATCGATTTCTCATTACAGCATCAATGGTTTCTCCCTCCCCGCATTAAATTGCTTTTCAATATTTTGACTTCGTTGGGTTAGTAACAGTGTTTCAGATGTTTGGCAAATTGTCAAAAGCCATTCGCATAAATGTTCATCGTTCAACTATTCTGTATTCGAGTCTGCTCTGATTATGATATATCGATAAAAACGATTACACTACAATCGAGACTCATGCAGCTGACATCATCGAACACGAAGTCGAATTGCTTGAATGTATATGGAAAAAATGTCAATAAATAAAATCACACACACACATATCACCCGATTTGGAAAGCCGAGAGCAGCAAAAAAGTGTTTATCGAGCATACAGATATCTCGAATCAATGTTTCAATTAGTGATGTTTATATCGATATATCAATTTGCAAATGGACATTCCCATTTAATCGGGTGCAAAGCTTTCGTTCAGCAAACCAATATATAATGCCAATATGGGGCCAATAACGATGAGCATTCCATTCAATCGAATGCTTTGATTCCGATAAGCATGTATGGCAGAGTGTCTAGCATGATGCTGATTTTGTGATTAAGAAAAAAATGTCTTGACATACTGCTGATTCAACGAATCCCCTCATGATTGTTGTTGTCAAATTTGAATGTGAAAACTTCAGAAATGGTTTGTGTTTTGGGAAAAATATTGGTTTTCAATATATGAAATATTTGAACGAAACATGGGCCAATCATCAAAATGCAAAAACAGGAAGAAAACTGTATGTGCTCAAACGCCCACGAGAAATTCTTAAACATGTTCAGTTTTGCGGAATGTTATTAAAAAACTGAATACCGAATCTTTGGTCTTTTATATGGAGATACAATTTATCCGCAGGAGTCACTTAATTGTCAAATCGTTCGAGTGCGCCCAAAGTATATTCAAGCATTCACAGTTGGTGTGCTCTTGAATAACAAACACGAACACAAAAAAAGTGAAGAATTCATTGTAGGAGGAAATTGAATTTCTATTTAGTATTTCGTCGACCCAACAATTTCCGTAGTCTATTCATTGTCCGAAAACGCGTGTCCGGACTGCTCAATTTTCGTGCTTTTTTTCTTCTTCACTCGATTGCTATTCTAATAAAGGAACAAAAAAAAGCGAGATTGAAACGCTCAACCATGTTGACTAAGTAGCATAAAAGAGACGCTGTTGAATTCATCCACTTAAATTTGGCCAACAATTTTTCACGTTTCATATTGGGATTTTCGAATTATGTTGAATAGATTCTTTGCCATTTTATTTTTGCCTCATTTCCAATCTTTTATCACACCATCAACCGAAAGCACTTCCCGCTAAGATATTATAGAAAAATTGTGCATCATCAAACACAGATATCTAGAGCCTGGTGTTGTTTTCATCGACGAAATATTACATTTCTATTCATAGGGCTCCTTAAAGTATCCAAAGCTAAATTATTATTTTTCACCCTTCTGCTTTAGATGAGATATAAGCAAATGATATGGTTCGGTTCGGTACAAATGATGCTGACGTCGATTTGAGTCGACAATGAGATTTTTTGCTCTTGCAAACGATAAACAGCAAATTGAATACAATTCTCCTTAATTCACAGAATTTCTCTATTGAATACGAATCTTCAATAATCTTTATGCAACTTACCTTCGGAACGGGTTTAGGCTCTGACGTCAATATTCGGTATTCAGGTAAGAGTGTCGGTGATATTTTTTTGTTTTCTTTTTCGTGTCGATTAACTAGAGTATACGAATCGTTTGTATGCTGACCATTTCACCAAAGGGTAGCAAACCGGCAGTTCGAAATCTGAAATTAAAGTAAACAATCGAAAAACTATTTATCGAAATGTGCAAACAAACGGATGAAAAATTGAATAGACATGAACATTCAAATTTGATCGGTCAGTCAACCGGAAACTGGTGCTTGTTTCGTTTATCTTTTAAATTTTCTTTTTTGTACACCTATCGGGACATTGAAAACTCTTTTTTTTTCTATATTATTGTTCAGTTCAAAAATGTTATTGATTTGGATAAATTATTTAAAAAGAATGAGAATTGTTTGGTAAAAGATCATCGTAATGTATGAACATGTTCTATATCGGTAATGTGCGAGCAAAATTTTCCAGGGGAGGGGGCTGTTTTTAAAATTTTCTTCAAAAAACCCTAGGAAATCGGGAAGAATTTCGTTTTGGACGAAAATTCCTAGCAAATCGGAAGAATTTTGAAGTGAGAGGGAAGGTAAATCCCCCCTCTCCCCCTCCCCTTCGCACATTACTGTCTATATATAAACCAATAAAAGAAATTCCTCGAGCAGTCTTCAGAATTTCTGATTTGAATATGACGGTATGTATTCTTTTGATAAAAAAAAGTATTTCAAGGTTTGAATGGAAAAAAGGGGAAGAAAGAATCGAGAGAACGAACATTCAGTTGCATGTGATGCCATTAACCGTGTTTGCCTCGAGTGAATCACAAACATTTCCTTTTACGAATCATCTGAAACGGGCGTTGATAATGTGTGTGTGTGTTGTTCACTTTAAGCTTCGCTAAGCTCATCTCGAACAGATCGAAACTCAATCCAATATATGAAGCGAAGAAATGAATTGCTCAACGGAATCGAATTTTTACTTTAACTAGTAAAATGTTATCAACATGTTATTTACTTGTATTCGCTTTTTTATGAGCATTATAATGTTGATTCGATAACTTTTCTAGTTTGTTCAATGAAATTGTATTTTGATGAAGCACTTTGGCATGTGAAGTAGGTAATAAGTTCTAAGCATACCTTTGGATCGATATGCCCGAATGAATAAATCGTTGTGGCAATGCTGTCCTCTCGGCCATTGTTTACGTATACAATTCTCGTTTACAGAAAAATCGTCAATTTAGCCATTTCGTTTGAATTCATAACAACGAAATGACCATTGTTTCATCAGATGATCGATTTTTCGATTCAGGATAGCTGAATCAACAATAAAAAACTGATGCGTAGTTTTACTACCGCCGTTTTGATTTACACCTACAGCGAAATTGAACAGCAGTGAATGGAAGTCGTGTGCAAAGATAATTTCGGCCACATTGATTTGATCGAATGATTCGGTTGGCAAACGTGCATCATCTGTAACATTCAATTTTAGCCTCTTCATATTATTTATTGGCTCCGGCATGGGCATTTGACCCATTGTTTATATTCAGACCGGTTTTTGGAAGCGTCTATTTTTGGCAATAAATTTATATGTTTCGTGCTCTTTTAGCAAACCAACATCCATTTTTTGTTCTTCACTGTTCAATGGAATACATTGGCATCATCAAATGATTTGATACAAGTTCACACGTAATTTATGATTTATTTGGGTTTTTTTCTTCGCTCATCAAACTTACGATAAAAATTCACTACACGCGCCCATTTTATTTTCTTCTTTTTTCGATACCGACACCGGTCAGCGTTTCTTGTTGCTTTAATCGCTCTCTCTTTCTTCCTCATTCTCGGTTTCATCATTAAATTGTATTCCACCATTTAAGTATAACTTTTGAAATAAAACAGAGCAATAATAAAATTCGTTCAAGTGTGAGTGAGGTTTTCTTATTATTGGTACAATCAATTGAAATAAATTCAAGCGAGAAAGAAAGAGAGTACACTAAGCAGTTCGATGTTTCAAATACTCATACTATAACCATTAAATGAACACTTTAAATCGATTATGGGCAATTGAATTCTCCATTCGATGCTATACTAGCCACATGAAAAATGGATTTGCTCAGTTTCATATCAATATTTTATTTTTATTTTTTCTTCTTCATTTTCTTGCTCGTTTCCGTTTTTTCATCAAAACTTTTAAACAAATCGAAAAAAAATATGAAGAAAGAAATTTCATGCTCATATAAAAAATTCAATCCCATTTCAACCACATTCAATTGATACATTTACGATGTTTATTTCATTTTATTCGCTTCTCTCCCTCTCTCACTCTCTACCGCTCCATTACTTAACAATTTAGAATGACACACAAACACATTTAGATGTTATGTTCATATATGCAAGTCGTTTAGTTTTTCATTTTTCGTCTCTGGAATAAATATAAAAAAAGTATACGATACAATGTAACGATCAATGAAATATGCTTTCAAGATTTATGGTATTCGCTTTTGGCAGTAATCAGAAAAACCGTCTCATTCTCAGCAGAGAACTTGAGATTATGGTTGCGATGACGTTTTGAAAGTTTGACGATTATTTCATTTGGATAATCGACATATAGATATAATGCCAGTAGTCAATTCTATTTCGTTTTAAACGATTTACATCAACAAAGAATAACCATATTGGGGTGGGTGTGGGACATTTATAAAAAAATATCGAAATAGTATGGGAGCTAAATGTCAATGTCAACACAAAGCAATTTTATTCATCGCACTATATTGCTATACATTTTGAACATTAACGACTATTTTATAGTATTTTCGTTACTTTTTATAGCGCTTCTGTGTAAAATAATACAGTTGTTGAAAAAATGATTTATTTTCTTGAAATGTTATCAATTAAATGTTTTGAGAGGTATACAGTGAGTGCTTTGGTGGGGCGATTGTAATTAGAAATCAATTTTCTTACTTCCTCTTGTTTTCTATTATTCATGGTTCATCATAAAACACAATTATACTTAGTTCAGGAACTACATATGCGTTAGTTCACCATATGTCATACCGTATGACTCATTCGTATTACGTGTAGGTAAATACAATGTGTATTTTTAGTAATACTATTCATTTAGAGTATTTTGATCTTAAAATGTTTAACTTAATGATCTTAATGTTTAACTAACCCTATTTTCAAAAAAACAATTCTGATGAAAAAAAAATTCCGAGATTTTTTCCTTTCAAACATTTTTCTAAAGTTTAAAAAAAAAAACCGGTCGTGTATGCATGTAATCAATAGATCCCCACTAGTTTATAATCGTTACATCAACATTTGATTTGGTTTCACCAAATGTTTATGCCTTAAATTGAAATAATCAATATCTTATCTTTCATTCTCTGTTATCTAATTTGTAGCACGTTGTAAATCGTACCATTTCCAATCATTACGCACAAATTTTCGCACGTTATTTTGATCCATGATTGTTTATTCGGTGTGTTTAGTAGAATCAATATTATTCGTTCAAAGTTTGCTTCAAACCTACAATGATGTTGTTAAAATTAATTATTCTTCTAATTTGTGCCAGTTCAATGGGTCATTTAATTACAATAAAATCGAATGTTCCCGTTCCATCGAATAAATTTTTATTCACAGCATCAATATCATTTCAATCGGAGCATATTTGTAGCGGTGTTATCTTGAACAAACGATGGATTGTAAGTTCTGCGTTGTGTGTAGCAAAATACTTCAAGTGCGCTATGGATCACATAATCGTAGTTGTAGTGAAATAATGAACGATGACATCGAAAAAGTCATTGTTCATCCTCGTTTCGAATGGAAAAAAAGTCAATTAAATAATATTGCGTTGATAAAAGTCAACAGTGATATTGAATTCATTCCGACCGTTGTTCAAGCAGCAATTTTACCAATGAAAGAAATCGCTGACGGTGATATGGTGCACGCCGTTGGATGGGAAAAAATCGATGAATCGGTTTGTTGAATCGCTATTTTCTTTTTTTCATTTTACATTCTCTATATTTGGTTTTCGTTTTGTTTTGAAGAATCAATCGGACACGCCCGAAATTTTAAAATATCATCAAACAAATGTGAGTGAGTTTGAATCATGTGGGAGATATTTGCCACATCTCGACAATTTCGAAGCGAAAGATCAAATCCTTTGCACATGTGCAACGACTGATGATACATTTCCAGAATTGGATAATGGCAGCGCATTGATTTCGAGCGATAAAGATGAATTGATTGGCATTGCAGCATGGCGAAATGGTGAACATCCGAATGTTTATGTCAAAATACGAACATTACTACCTTGGATTAGATCAGTTATTTTTGAGTAGTGCAGTTGTGTCTTATCAAAAAATAAACAATTATTTATCAAGTGTTCATCTTCATGAAGTCAGAAACGAATAATTTTAATCAGTGATTTTCTGTTTGTTCAGTTGTTTACTATTGATTTTTGTATTAAAAAGGAAAATTATTGGTAAATAAAAAGTGAGATAAGAGAGTTCTGGAAAGAAATTGAATTTATTTGTTATCTGTGAATTTAATCAACTCGAGTGAAAAGAATTATAAGTCATTTATGTCTGTTGACTCAGCTTACGACTAAGCGAATGTATTCAAAGAAAATTTGATCTTCGCCATAAAATAAACTTGAAGTGAAATGAACGTACATTGAAATGGGTTCGGAAAGGAAATGCATTTCGATAAATATTCATGTAAATATGACGAATGCGAGCATCAAAGTCATCGACATTATTTCCGTGTCTCGGTCATTTTCCTAGAAATCGTTTACCAACGGATTATATGCATTGCAATAAAATCAAAGTCAATCGTTAAAAGTCATACGATGTCATTACACGCTTAACAAGAATTTTAATCACAGAACATGTATGATTTTATGTAAAACATGTGTTATTATACACTCATATATGAATATCTGAATGCTCTGGCCAAGCACCCGTTGAAAATGGAGCGTAAAGAGCGTATTTTTTTATATGTCGCAATTGCACATAATTTGATTGTTCCTTTTCTCTTCGAACGTAAATTTCCGAATGATGATGTGAACTGGGACACTTTTCATCCGAATATATTCGCTCGTCGATTCCAATAAGACATAGAAAAAAAAAATGTATATCGTATTTCTTTTTTTTTAGGCGCTATACGTGTGTCCATACACATTTGTATGTATGTTTAGTTCGTTAATTTTCTTTTATTTTTATGATTTTTTATATGTGCGTGGCATTTTGTTGTAAGGGCCAAATGGAAAAATTCATCATGTAATGAGGCAATATTCATAAAAACGCGTCAGCGCGCACATATACACACACATTACATTCATCGAAGCGTACACATTTTATCCGGCAATTCCAAATTCATTTCATTTTTGGTTTTATTGTAGGCGCTTTTTTCGGTACGATTTTATGATATTTCACATTACACCACGTGGTTATATAGGAAAAGGACATACACTGTCGAATATGTGATGACGAATTTGATTCACATAAATTGTGTGCGGCTGTTTGGTGGTTGAATGCATACTATGAATCGACCCAAATGGAAACTAAACTAATTGGATCGAATTCAGTCGAATTTCAAATATTGTAAATGGGCTAAATTTGCACAACTTAATTGACGTTTGTTTCTTACATGTGTTGAAAGCATTTTATATATGTCAAATATTAAAGATTCATGCAAGAGTTTTCGTTTATTTAATAAACGAGCGAATGACTTTGCAACGATTCTTCGAATGTTCAACGTTTCGTTGAGTGTTTCATGTAATCGCATTTCAGACGCTTGGTGTAGCGTGTGTTTGTCTAATTTACGGAATCCCGCATATCCTGTAAATCGAAAGCAGTGAATTTCGCAAAACAGTTACATGTTCAATGTTCGTTCGTGATATACACTTGTATGCATAATTTATATGGGAAAAACGGTACCCAGTTTGGATAATGATTTATTTACATTTGACTAATTAATATTGTCAAAACATCAACTCTCTCGCGCCTCTTCCCCCTTTTTCGGTGACATTTGTTATTAAATCACATACAAAACCATGGTGTGGGTTAAATCATTTTAAAAATTTATCTGGATTTTGTTGTTAATTTAAACACATTGTATTTCAATCGATCATGTTCTACTGCCATTTGCAAAGAACGTGTTGCATTTCGACTTCTATTATTACTCACAGTCTGTGAGCTATATTTAATGCTCTAATTTTATCCGAAATTACTATTCGTGTGGTTTTCGCCTTTCCTATTCAATTGGACTTTTTGTCGTATTTCAATTGCAGCCATGCAATCAAACACAATTAACAGCAATTTTACGATATTTCGAAGCAGTTTTTGTCGATTGTTTTTTTTTTCTTTTTCACTGCTCTGTTGCACTGCAAGATTAAATTGTGTAAGTAAATCGAATGCTTTCTTTTTCTCCGGCCATACTGAGATCAACATGATTCGTGACTAGATTAAATTATCAAAAGGCAAACGCTTATCGAGCACTGACGCTCTCTTTATTTTTCAGCTTTGGTTTGCTGACTGTAATAGCTCAACTTAATATCAAAGGATGGTAATTACACACCACAAATGCTTCGCGTACATTCGTATCCCATAACGGGAACATACAAACCAGAGGATACAAGCAATTCATTTCTCATGTTGTATATGTGCGATAGTGGTTAGTGCTTGAGGGTGAAATTCATGGTTGGAAATAGTTTGGCCGGTCAAAGCAATAAAACAATAAAAGCGATCCACTAAGGCGGATGGTTCCGAAATGAAAAAAAAAAAGATTCGCTGATAATAGCCTCACGCCAATGGTTTCGGACTCAATGCAAATTACCATTGCGCTTCTATCACAATGCCCACTCACCCATATACACCCATAAGCGCACACCCATACACACTAACGCGCGCGCACACACACACACTTACGAATGGAACGTGGAAGTTTTACAAATGTTGGTGCGGATTTTGTGGCCCAACCGTATAGTGAAATGTACACAGATGTAATGAATATTGGATTTAGGGAAATGTAATTGAATAAATTGCCAGATTAAAATGCCATCGATTCTATTTGAGCGTGTATTTTAGCGTGTGCGGACATTGGGCCGCAACTATGAATCGGTATTGAATGGATCAGATCATTACATTTGATGGTTTGGCGCTTGTTTTTGTTGCTGCTGATTTTATCTGATTTCGGAGAAGTAACCGCATTTATTTGTAGCCACAAATCGAATATCGTTGGAAGCAAATAAAGAGTGACGGGAACGAATATCAAGATTTTTGTGGCAATACATATGTGAATTATTGACTAGAAACAGCGCCACTAAAACACTATTCCGGCGATTGAAACCTTAGTGCAAACAACATAATATGAAATATATCGGCCTAAATGAATAAATGACCACGCATACTCTCGGTCTGCAATATATGCACATGTATATTTGGGTTGATTGAGGAGTTTGCAAAAGCAAAAGCACACAAACTAAGCCCGCCGACGTAATATATGTTTCGTCGATCATATTTTATTTATAAAGATATACCATTTTTCCTGGGCTCACTTTTTTCGACTGTATACGGTCGCTCTCTGATGCTTTTGTTAAGTGTGTGTGTATGTCGTTAATCTACTCTTGCATGTTGTTCGTATGGTGAATTGGTTCTCGCTCTTAAAAGTTGAGTTGAGTGTTTTGTGTTTGAGCTGGCATTTGTTGCCACTTTTCAAAACGAATCAGCTACTTCATCATTTTGCTTCTTTTTTTCTCCGTTCATTGTTAATCCGAAATATCCATTTATTATATGGCATAATGTAGAGTATTAGATGCCTGAAACAGCCACAACCAACAATAATGACCAGAAGTATGGAAAAAAAAATCACCAAGAATCCGGAGTGTTTTTGAATGAAAGCAACGTATAAGACACACACGTAATAACCCGAACGCTTCGTGTTGCCTAAGTCGTTGCGTGAATGTCGTTTGACCTTGTCCATGTGGGTTACATCGTTCATATTGTATCCGACAAGGATGTATCAAATTCATTTGCTTCAACCCATAAACATCTAACACGACCAACAAAAACAAACTAAAAACATTACAATGGACAAACAAAAATTTCTTCACATCGTTCACAATTGTTGTTGGACGCTTTTTTTCGCTCGGCCACATTCCTGTTGTTATGATAAATCAGAAGTCATTTGTCATATGAACCGAAAACGTCCAACAACTGAACAAAAAGTACTCCAAACATATTTCACGCACATTTTCATTTACAAAATATACGCAAACGAATTTAATCAACAAATAATGGCAAAAAATAATAATAATATATAAATGTAATCTGATAAATATGACAGATAGTTCATTATACCATATTGCCAACCATAAAATGATTGAGAGATAATTTGTTCCACAACATTTGTTCGCATATTCTAAGCCTTTTTTTCGTGATAACTTAACTTTTGGCAAACGAAAAAAAATGGTTTGCATTTTAAACGATAGCAAATCAAATTCAGCTGCGAGTTTCAAAATATATTATATTGTAAATCATATTGACGCCTCTAAGTGGCTCCCATAAATATGTTTTTGATTATTATCAGCGCAAAAACGGTGACTCACATCACAATGCCCACACCTCATCGGAAAATATATGCCAACAGCTGCAATGCATTGAATATGAAGTGAAATAACGATTAGGAGTTATTATTCATTCCAAAATGGAAATGGATAGATGCTCTCGCCATTCTGCATCTATTATCGCATCACGCTGAACGAGAGATAGATAGAGAGAGTGTGGGTGTGCGGGAGTGAGAGCTAAGAATATCATTTGCATATAATTTGCATTTGTAATTATGAAATGTGCGCGGTGTAACTTTATGTTTGATATCCTATTCCAAGATTGCCGTATCTATTATCCAAATAAAGTCAAGCTGTCTTCATTTGATAGCCTGTCACAACAACATTACAATCTATCTAATTAAAATGTGAGGCGTGAGCGCATTGGAAAAAATGGCGCGTTTTTCTCGCTCGTGTATTCGTTAAAACTGATCCGCAAAAATTTGGCCCAAAATGAAATTATTAATATTCAGCGGATGCAAATTTCAATTTTCAATTGTCGCGCATAATTTTGATAGCCGTCACGAAAGCAAATTCAACATTACCGCACTCTTATCGACTCACTCACATTTCACTAAACTTTCATTTCGGACGGTGTTTTTTATGCATTTAAAATGGTTATTAAAACCCGGAAAAATGTTCTTTAAAATTGCAAAAAAAGCACATTTCATTTCGCAAGAGCATTGTTTACGATTTTTTCTGCTTGAAAGATTTGATTCATTCGTTTCAACAGAA